TTTTGCTCTCTTGAGCATGCCTGATATTGTATAATTTTCTGATTTTTCTCGGCCCAATCTGGTGGCTGGTCTCCACGATACTTCTTATTGAACTCGAAGTGCCAACCTTTGTTAACAGCACTCCGTGTTGTACCACCAACTCTGTATCCCTCTGTTTGGAACTGTTAGTGGGCTCGTTGTGGCTTTTGTGAGTATCGGTTATTCACCCACTCCATTATGTGCTATCCCGATCTGCCAGCTTGATGCTTCCGACACGTAGTTAAGGCAGTAATGATCTCGCCACGTTTGTTCAACGGTCGGCGTGTCCTTGAACGGTCTTTATACATTTGTACATTGTACCATCCAAACACCTCTTTTACATAAACCCTATATAGTTTTCCCGTAACCCTCATCCGGACAAAATAATAGATCAGTGGGTGTGTAATAAGCCGGGCCTCCACATTAGATTCTATGTATAAACGTACTCTTAAGCAGTACGCAAATTATAAACGTACTCTTAACAGTACGAGGAACTTCTGTTTCCTAAATGTACTCTTAATAGTACGAGGAACTTAAGTCTCCTAAATGTGCTTTTAATAGCACGAGGAACTTAAGTTTCCTAAAATGGTTTTTAATGGTTTTATTAATTAAACCTTTTCCATTTAACATATCAGATATTTGGATGAGGCCATTAAAAGGCCTCAGTAAAATACCAAACATAAAAGAGTTGGTCTAGTTCTATTATTAGAGCTTTAATTACTTTCCAGTTTTATTTATATCTGAATACTTCGGTAGCGAGATGGCTCAACCAAATATAGGTTTCTAGGGACTATTAACGTTACCTAGTTGATCCTATGATGAGCCAACCAGATGTGCCAGTCTGATGAAGGCTAAGTCGGTAATTCTTGATAGTGGTAAGTTATTGGTTAAGACAATAACTAAAGACGTCAAGAGTATTTTTATTTATATTTATTTTTCTAAAGTTAGGATTTTATAAGTCTATCGGATTCGCCCCAGAATAGAGCGACAACGAAACACTAAATAAATTCCCTTCTGCGGAAACAGTACTGAGAGGATTATATATAGGCAATGTCTCAGCCTCACAATCCCTCAGAGTATTGCTGTTTTCACGAGGCAAACCTAACTTTATTAAACGTCTCATTTCGTTTATTTATATCGATATTTACACGATATATAGAATTTACCTACGCGTTTATTTTATTCTAAGGCATTAGTATCGCCTTTATTAGACAGAATCTTACACATTTTAAAGTTAGCAAAAGTATTAATTACTTAGACTACTTAAGCGTAAAGGTAAGTTAACTACCACAACAATTTTTTTCTCTTGTCTAAGCTAGTCGTTAAGAGACAAGCTAGTAGTCATAGTTAAGATTATGACCAAGAAAGACAACACTCCTTCTACGAAGCGTAGAGCTGAAAAGAAGAAGATGGAGAGAGAAGTCGCTAACGCTGCCGCAGCTATTACTGCTGCGCAAGCAACCGACGCCGCTGCTGATGCATTTAAGCGCACTGTAGCCAAAGCACTTGCCTATGAGAATTATAGTCAAAAGGACAATGCTTCAGATAAGGAAGTAGCCACTCCGCTTAATGAGACCACTCCTTCTGACAGAGCCCGAGGGACAACTATAGCCTCAACTTCAAAGCTTGCATTAACGAAGCCAAGAAGTGAGACAAGGGATACGTCGCAAGACGCCCCAGCCCATTCGTCTGACGAAAATCAGAAAGGAAAGTCCCCAATTATAGGGGACAAGGACAAATTTCAGAAGGAACCTATTATGGAACCAGAAGAGGAGGCAAGCTCAAGTAGCAAAACCGAATCTACGTCCGAGACTTCTAAGCCGAAGCACATAAGTAAGTTAAATACTAAATACGCTGATCTTAAGAATCAGTTAGCTATTATTATGAAAGACTTGACTGTCGAGCATGTAGATCAATTAGAAAGATCAGAAAAACATACACAGCGCTTACGCGAGCATGTTTCCCCGGGTATTACTGAAGCCCTACAGAAGTGGACAGAACGTCGACAAGCAATTACGCCCAAAGTCTCAAGTTCGACACCTGAGTCATATGATCCAGAGATGCACAGCGTCGATATACCGTACGAGGCATTACTGCCAGAAGAACAGGCTAATCATTCGACTGTTGAAACAGTACTGAGAGGATTATATATAGGCAATGTCTC